AGTAGGCATGAGAGAGAGAGAGAGAAGAGAAGATTTTCTTCTAGGGTTGTAAGAGGAGAGAGAAGGTGAGAGGTTTCTTCTTCATTACACTTCTAAGAGAGAATTGAGAGTGATTGTAAAGAGAGAAAGACTTGGAGAGAACTTCGATTCTTCTCATGAATTCTGAGTAGTCTTTTTTATTTTTCTCCTTACTTTGAGATATGATTTTGTGAAGAATTGATTTTGTTTTCTACGGTTTTAAATGTTAATAATTTGTGATGAGTTGAACTCCGGTCTTCATTTATTTTTTGATCTGGCCAATTGAAATGTTAGAACTTGTTTAGAAACATATGTTCTGAAAATGGATATGATTTCTACAACATAGGAAGAATCACATTTGCTTTCAAGTAAGAGTATGTCATCCATGAAATTGGGTGCAAATAGATAGAGAAATACACTTTGTTGGATGCAGAATTGGAGATTTTAAGGTGAAAAATTAAAATTCCTAATTTGATCAAGTTGATTGGAAACTGATGCGAGATTGTTAGCCCTCAGGGGTGAGAGTGGTGGGTGCTCTGAAGTGGCAGCTGGTATCCTTTCAGCCTAACCATAAAATTAAGGACCAAACTCTGGATTAATAAATGTTCTTGATAATACTCAGAAGAGGGTAAAGAATAAGATTGCTCCTATTTAGCACAAAACAATTTATATATATATTTTCAAATTATTTCAATTTCTTCACAATAAATACACTCGTTGTAAAGGGGAATGATGATTTCTTAAATTTGAAATTTTCATCAAAACAAAAGCTTTATTTAATTTTAGTAATTTTCTTTTGAAAGTTTAGTGTTTAGTTTAGTTTAACTTATGTAATCTTACATCTGCATTTTATCTAGCATTCACTTTAGTAGTTAATATTCAAACTTCACATTTTACTTTTGTTTTTGTATTTTTAAATTATAAAATAATTTCAAACGCTTACTTAAAGAATTTTCCAATTTCCATGTGGGATCGATATCTAGGACTCTATTATAATCCTTTATTACTTGAGTGATATGTATATTTGCGTTGATTTAAATGAGAATTTAACAATTTTAAAAGAGTTATAAATGATAAACTATTTTCATAAAATGTATTTTTGTTGAAATTATATTACAAATTTATTATATATCTGTCGTGTGTAATTTTGTAATATTGAAAAATATTTACAAAATTTACACACTAAATTACCCGTCATCAATAAGCTAACTAACAGTCTAGCATGACTTATAGAGTGTGATGGAAGTTGTAACGACATAAAGGCAATAGGGTATTTTTGCTACATTGGAAGTGTAAAAAGAAGTTATATTAGACACACATTACGATGAACCAGAAAATCAACATGCATAAATTTATTTATATCTAAAACAAATATTTACATCTTTATTTTTCCGATTACAACTAGTTAAAAAGAAAGGAAGAATTTTACGAAACTGTCACTTGCGGCCTCGACTGAGACATATCCCAACCGAGACAACCACTTGTCCATCATTTCTCCTCTTATCCTAAATTTGGCCACTCTATTCATTTCAGAATACAATCGGAAGATTGAAACCTTCTCCTAGACGGCTGACAGCTCTGCCCGGAGCGATATCAACTGGTCCTAAAGAACAACTTCACGAGTCTGCACCGCAACTAGTTCTTCTTCCAATTTTTTTAGCTACGAATCCCGAAGCAAAAGGAGATCAACTTCTTCAGCTAGTGGAACCCCGACCTCGCGAAGCTGGAAGTCAATCAAGTTGTATTGCTTTGACTCGCTAGCACTACCATCAGATCGATCACCGAAACGGTCCTCCAAAATGCTCAGAACCTTCAGCGAACCCTATGTTCGCTACAACACTGGCCTGAGCGGTTGCATGTTCAGCCAGAGGCAGAGTTTTAATCCCCTCCTTAAGAAAGGCCCGTCATCATGTTCATGCTGAAGTAGTGAAAGAGAAAGCCCCTTCCTCAGTCTCCTACTTCACCGACAGAAGAAGTGGGGCAGATCGAGAAACATCCGCCGAGAAAGGATCAGGGACAAAACCTTGCTAGTTTGAGTATGTTGCCTCTGGCAGTACTAACAGAAAGCCCAGCCCTTGATCTTTTCCCTCCTCCATATGGAAAGGATCGAAGGGGGAGCCTATTGTTATGCCTGCTTATCATCCAGGTGGATCTTTCCCATCGTGGAACACTTCTTCAAGGGAAAATCATCCTCTCTCATCGAAGACCCCTCAGCAAGGCAACCGTTGAATGAATCTAACGATCCCACTTCATTGACTGGTTTGGAAATCTTCGCCTCGGATGCTACAGGCTTGCTAGGTCGTTCATCCTTAAAAGCTGTTTTAGCGCTCCTTCTCATTAATTGAATGCAATCGCTCGAGCATCCTCACTGAATTCAACTAACTTGGGGAACTGCCCACCCTCAAAGATCGAAACAACAGATGAAGAAGACATGAGATTAGTTTGAAGAAACACATGAAAGATGAGTCCTTCCTCTCACGTTCTTTATGGGTCATGACACAAAAATTAAGGAATAATCAATGATTGTGCATTTAATAGTCATGAATACAATTAAAATTTTTGAAAAGTAGATTCCCTTGTTCTTATTGCAACTATCACTGTAAAGGAGCAAAGAAATCAGAGAACTTAAATATGTATATCAAAAATATGTCACCACGTGTCCTAAAGAATCTGAAAGCCAACAAATGAGATGATGTGGCACCATGAGGCATGCCAGGGACGACAATAAAAACTCATGTCTAGACAGCAGAAGACTACGGGTCGAGAGGAAGATAATCCTAGATGAATAGAACTCGACTACCCTCCTGAAGTTCGTAGGTACAAGACTCAGGAGGACAAAACTAACAATGTTTCTCTAACTAGGTCGAGCTACAGGCAATTCCCCCGAGACTCCAGACTCCATAAGAGGCGCCCAACTCATAAGAGCCAGGCATGAACCGACGAAGATTTCCGGGTCTATCGAGCCCATCCAACTGGAAGCCATTTCAGGCTCCCGACTGCATTCAACCAGAAGCCATTTCGGGCTCCCGACTTCATCTGATCAGAAGTTATTTTTAGTAGCTTCCAATCCCATCCGGTCGAAAGTCATCCCAGGCTCCCGGCATCTTCCGGTTAGAAGTCATTTCAGGCTCTCAACCCTCATCAGGCGGGGTGTCATTTCGGGCCCACCATAATTAAGTGATGATATTGATTGTTAAGTACTCCTGACAAAAGGATAGACATATTTATAAATTTTTAAATAAAATTGTTTGCTTAGAAATGAAAAAAAAAACCAAAACAATAAATGCAGCCCATGCTAGAGGACCCAATCCGACGCGATGTGGTCGAGAAGGCAGTTATCTTCAAAACAGGGCCTACCTTTGAATATATATACCCCAATACAGTTCCATTTCCATTGCTTCATGTTCCCTTCTATTATTTCTTATATATACACGCATATCGCGAGGAATTTTTTAAAGATGGGTATTTAAAATTTTTTTAAGTTGAGAGAAAAATTCATAAATTCAATCTAATTATTTCAACTAATGATAACTGACTTACCCAAGACTTTTGAGTTGAGTTATATTTCGTAAAATTTAATTGATATAAATATCATAATTGCTATATTTATTTTATAATAAATATAATAAATGTATAAATATTTAAAATTTTATATTTGAAAACGATTTCAAATATGGGGAAATTCATGGTCTCTATGCAGCAGAGCTGTCAAGAAGGCATTAGCACCGGCTGGCTTGCTGGTGGATAATGTTTTTTTCTTTTTTTTTTTTAATTATAAATCAATTGCCGGCGAGAAATGGCTTGTTTTTTTTTCTTTAAATACTGTTTAGCTTAATAAATTTGTCACTTAGTTGATTTATTAAATTTTATCTTAATCCGAACGATGCCTTAAACTCATGCCAAATGTGGCAGAACTGAAGAAAAAATTTATATACATCACCCTAAACTTTCATATATATATATAAGGGAAGGAAGATTGAAGAGCAGGGAATTTTGGGCCGGATTGCCCGCTCTCTCTTATTCACTTTCACTTTCTCTCTTGACCTCTCACTTCAGTTTCAGATCAAGAGTAATAATAACACATACAGGAGAGAAGTGGATTATCAGAAGAAATAGCTGCCCTTGTATAATCACGGAAATAGAGGAGTGAATTTGAATCATCTTGTTCTTATCCTAACAGGACTCTTCCCGGTTACTTGTATCTACAAACGGAAAAATTATTTCATAGGAGAGTTACATATGGTGTTCGATTTTCATCGCCCATCACAGTAAAATTTTTTTTTTTAATTCAAAATAGGGCATATCATCATACATCTTTGCTGTGATGGTCGGTGAGAATAGGTGTACATCTCTGCATAAGGTGTCCGTATGAAATAATTTTTCTACAAATGAGATCATAGGTCCCAAAAAAAATCAACAATGTAGTTCTTTGGTGTTTTAAACATTTGCATGAAAGATTAGATTTCACTTACAGAAAGTTATAGCAGTATTTTTTATGTGATATTAATAATTCGAATGTTATTCATGAAATTTTTACTATAAGATTTGTGAATAAATAAGAATTGTGTTCTATGCAAGTAAATGCTCCATTAATTTAATATTGTGAGTTTTGCTACATTTTATAAATGAATTCATATAAAAATTAATTAATTTGGCCGTTTTTTTTTGGTCCGAAAAAAAAAAGGTTAAACAAATTTATAAATTTTTTAATAAATTTACTTATTTATAAATTAAACTATAATTTTTTTTGTTTTTTTGGGTAGAATGAGGCCATCGGGCATAGCCCAAATCCACATCGCTAAAGAACAGATTACAAGTGGGACAGATTACGACTGTTTCCAAACAGGAAAACAAAAAAACAAAACAAATAAATGTAACGCATGGAAAAAATATGCCCCGCGGATGCCCTTAAGGTGCGGCACCCCCCACCATTTGTACCCTTATGAAGTCTCATAGAAACTAGATATAAATGGAAGTAGATTGGGCTGCTTGAGTATCTTCTCTCTGCCTGCATCCTCTTCTTTAAGTACATTGGGCTTCTGCTCAATTAACAAATGGAGTTTGGAGGAGTCATGAGATCTTATAACCATCTTCTTATTCTTATCTCTATCCTCCTCTTTTCACTTGTTGGAGGAATTACGGCAGTTGCCAGAGGCGGAGAGCTTCGCCGGAAAGACTTTCCCGGCGACTTCATCTTCGGAACAGCCTCCTCAGCCTATCAGGTGTGTTTCAGAGACCGGGGGAGAATTTATATCTGTGAAATAATAGCTCATAGTAGGTGAAACAGTTTTTTAAAAAGGCACAATTAAATTGTATCTTAAATTAAAAAAGTAAAATTTAGTGTTATTTCACGTTACAATTTTCTATCTAAAAAATACATCGTATAAATTTGAATATATATATA